TCGATTCTTTCAGAAACATTTTTCGGGCTATTTCACATGTATGGTGCAATTAAAAAAAAAGAAATGAGCTGTGTAAGAGGTGAATTGCAAAAAAACCAATTCGTAATTGTTATTGCACACATTTTTTCAAAAATTTTGACAAAAAAATCTCTGTACTCCAAAAATTGGAGGCCCTGGACTATTTTTAATATTTTAACTGGACAATAACTAATCAATTTATTTCGACCATTTTTGTGTTCGAAATATTTTTTTAATAACTTCTTTATTTATTCCCACATATTTCAAGCCTTCTTTCATTTTTCTAGCTTGTCTTTTGGATAATCGGAAAATAATTAATATAGATAGAAAAAGTGACGTCGTGCCGTTCGAGGTATAAGTTGGCAGCACCGATTTACTCAGCTGTTATGCTCCTTCCCGTAGCGAAATGTATCATCACAACTCCATTCGTATTTGCCGCGCTTACCCCTCCGCGATTTTTTAATTATCCCTTCTAAGAATTCTCCTAGGCCACTTGGATTATTTTTTTTTATGTTCCTCCATGAAAGCTCCACCCTAGTGCGAAATTTCAGGGAAATGTCGCCTTCTTTTCTATTTTTAATATTTTTTTTTTCCGAATTCCCGTACACGGAGAGAAATATTCAGTAGTAATATCCCGAGAGCTTCAAAATGATCGGGTATTTCCCGATAGCTTCGTTGCAAACATACGAGAGTGTCAAGTTCTGTAGGTTTAAAAACCCCGCAAGGAGCGAGGGATTTTCCTACAAAACTTGACACGATCGTTTGTTTGCAGGGAAGGTTGAGGGAAATACCCGTTGCATTTTGAAGCTCGAGGGGTATTTGGAGGAGTATTTCCTCCATCGGAATTTCGGTCACTGGAGGGCAGCATTTGATGTCAATGTGGTACAACCTACACTTTCGCATTTCAATTATTTTGTTTAGTCTCCCTTAGCAACGTGCCGTGGTTTTACCAAATTTTACCGATATAAAACCGTGTAGGTTGTACCACGTGACATCAAATGCGGCCCTCCTATTGGTCGAGATTCCGATGACGGAAATTCACAATTCGCTCACCGATTACGGAATCGATTCAGAAAATTTAAGTGACGGTATCATAATTTTTCACAGGAGATTCAAATAAAATTTACGGATCGCTCTGGAAAAATTCCGCGACAGCNTGTAGGTTGTACCACGTGACATCAAATGCGGCCCTCCTATTGGTCGAGATTCCGATGACGGAAATTCACAATTCGCTCACCGATTACGGAATCGATTCAGAAAATTTAAGTGACGGTATCATAATTTTTCACAGGAGATTCAAATAAAATTTACGGATCGCTCTGGAAAAATTCCGCGACAGCTCCGTAAAATTTCCTACAACCACATTTCGCTTCGGAATTACGGAAAAGATACGTAATTTTTATTGAATATTTCTCTCCGTGTAAGAGCCCGTGTTAAAGTGCATTTTTTAGAAAAATTCCAGTATTTCAACCATTTTCCTAGGCTATCTGGGATTTTGTATAGGGGTTTTGAAAAAATCAAAGAATGTAAAAAAAATCATCAATTTCTTGACCTTTTT